AACACGATTTTTAAGGACCTTGTCATAAAATCGAATATGTGTTATATATGCGTCTTCTTGTCTTTTTCTCACGTTTTTAACATAGGTGCAATTTGTGTGTTACAGTCAAAGAAACTACAACGACCAAAAAAAAATCTTTGGTAGATAATTAAATTAAATGTACAGTTAAATATAGCAAAACAATTAAAAATAATTAGAATACCTTTATGTTTGCGATGTCCATTATGGGAAGCCCATTGGTTTTTCTTGGAGTCAACACTTCCACTGCAGATATTTAACTCACTCGAGAATATCTTCTGATTTATAAGACTTCTATTACTGTTCTTTGGTTCTGTTTGAAAAAACGACACGAATTTGTGTAAAGGACTCATTTTTATTTGTCATTGGAGTCCAGGCAATCAATTAATCGACGTGAAAAACAGCAGTGAAAGAACACCATGACATTTTGAAGAAGTAGAAGTACCACTGACCAAAAATATGCTACTTTCTAAATTATAAAATGATTTATTAAGTAAGCACTAATTGCACATAATGAGCACAGCGCGGAAGAGCTCTGGTGTGAAACTGTGAATACGGCTAAGTTTTTTGTCGTCACTCCTCAGATGCGCGTGCGACAGTGTCGCCGGCCGCTCTTTTACCTATTGCCACTGCTTCGCGCGCACTTTCATCAAACAACCAGGGACTTTCGTTGGGCGTCGCTTAGCCTCCATTATTGGAGGTGGTCTGTCACGCTCTATGTTTTTCACTTAATTGTAATAATATATTTATTCCTATAGTATTAGTTCAACAGCAACGTAACGTCTAAGTATATTTGTCCATTTCGGCCCGAAATATTATTTCCTGTACGTCTGATTCATTAGGAGTCTCTATTCTGTCTATGTTACGCCTACTTTTAACACGACTACTAATATTTTGAGTCCTATATTACTGTTCGTCGTATCTACTCCTCGAAATAAATAAATTGCTCTGTGTAAGGAGAAAGTGTTACTATGTCTACTGTAAACGCCACTAATTAAGGTTTGAATCAGGAATCCCTTGATCAAATGCGACGCCCTATATGTAATGTTTAAATTTTTAAATTTAAAAGTAGTTCAAACTATGCAATCATTTTACAAAAAATAGTAGAAAATATACACGTTTTATAGAAAATATGACGTATGGATTCGCTATAGCAAGTACCAAGCAAACCATCAAGCATCAATGAATTATAATAATTTAAATGAGATAAGTCTTAATTATATTCGTGTGTAGGTAGCATTTAAAATTGAGCAAATATACATCGCAGTGTGAACTTCATTCAAATTGACACCACGTTTCCAAACTCTTACACTATTATGCAAGACGTGTTATACGTAACAAGGCGGTATTATTTTTAACTAGAATTGCTTTTTCTTTAATTACAGACAATAAAATTCTACATTAGTTGGCTCGATTAAATGACGTCAACGCTCATTTAAACCGTCACACTGCATATTAGGCAGTATGCAATAAATTCGTATACATAAAATGTGAGCAAATTTATTGCTCACATTTTCTCCCACTCGCGAAGATACCAAAAATTATCTGTTCTTGATGCTATAATAATTAACGTTATGTAATTATAACGTCTATGAATGTAAATGTAAATTTGAATTATAAAAAGTGGATAATGTAATTGCAACAATATACCATTGCTTGCAGTATTATTAAAATATATATATATACTTTAAACAAAAGATTGGCAAACAATTAAAAGTTAACAAAATTTAACAAAAATTATCTGTAATGTATATTCTAAAGAAATCCCTATATTTACAATAATTACAGGTCTACATCACATGTATGCTAAAAAATAGTTCGCAAAACGTAAAAAGAAATGCTTGCATTTATTTACCAAGAGACCGTTGACACTTTTAAGAGTAATTAAAATAAACTTAAAATAAACTAAGAAAAAATTTTGATCTATCGTAAATTGTTTTCTAAATGGGAATGGGCCCTATGTTCCGCTTTTATAACATACTATGTTCATTTCATCAAGTTATTAAATGACATTGATTGCGATTTGTTTCCTTCTCATAATTCACAAACACAGGAATCAGAAATACAACACATTATAAAACAACATCGCTTAAATTGAAATTTGTATGGTAACACTGGATTTTATCTAGCTTTTAATACATAAACACAGATGTCTGACAGTAAATACCCCTGAACACCACCTCGAAGATATAAAACTCCTTTTAAAGACTACCTACTGTAAATTTAATACCGTTACATCGAATGTAATTAAAAACCGTTACATTTTATTGCTCAGTTTAGTCTATTTTGTTTGTACAGTATTTTGTGGGTGAAAAGAATGATCACCATTTACTATTTTTACTCTTACAATCGGAGGAAACGTTTTCTGTTCCGTTGTTATATCAAAATCCTAGAAATCACAAGTTTTTTAACACAATGGTTTTATTCTGTAAATTCGTTTGTTTACAAGAGCAGCGTTATATATATTATGAGAATATGGATATAGCGGTTATATATAAAAATCAATGTGTGTTTGTTCGTTTTTTATGCATTGACGTACCGTTCATCTGATCATCCTTAAACTTTTCATCTACACGTTTCCAGGGATATTGGAAAGGGTATATAGTTACAGTACCTTTCATCCAAACAAGTACTTCCTAAGGGACTCTGCGGCTTCGCTCGCATAAGAGTCCCTAGTTAGGCAAGTTTAAAAAGAAATGTGAAATCTATCGACGGGTCTGTTGGTCTAGTGGTTAGTGATCCTGACTGCTACGCCAGAGGTCATGGGTTTGATTCCCACCCAGGACAAATGTTTGTGTGATGATCACGATCATTTGCTCTGTATCCGGGTGTAATTTATCTATAATATGTATGTATTTAGAAATATATAAGTATGTTTATCAGCAGTCTATTTACCATAGTATAAGTTATGCCTAGTTAGAGATCAGAGGCTCTGTGTAATATGTGTGAAGTTATTATTATCAAATCTGTTCAAAAGTTATACAGATACAGAGACCACATATAGCTAATACCTATACCTTACACTAGGTGGACGAGATAGTCTTTGAAAACTAGAAACCAGCGCGTGTTTACAAATTATAATAATGTTTGTTTAATAATCCAACATCGCATTTGAAATAGGTTAAACATGAAATGGTATCGTTACGTACACTGGTGTTTATAATTCCTTACCCGCGGGAAAGAAGACTAGCGTCAATTCTAAGCCAGTTAAAAGTTCAGCCCAGTAAAATTCTTCTCTTAGCTATTCAGGACATTATTGGAAGCCTGATGCCTGATTTTTGATGACTGTTTAAGATGGCATAATGTAAGAACATATATATTATGTATATTCCCAAATTACGTTCAATAGTAAGTCAAAGTTACATAATAACATTTTAGCACACAGCAGTCACATAATCTGCAAACTTTGAATCCAATTAGAGTTTTACCAATAACATAGGTACCACAATTTCAATAAAACAAGTTTAACGGTGGAATATCTATACTAATATTATAAAGCTGAAGAGTTTGTTTGTTTGTTTGTTTGTTTGTTTGTTTGAACGCGCTAATCTCAGGAATTACTGGTCCGATTTGAAAAATTCTTTCAGTATTAGATAGCCCATTTATCGAGGAAGGCTATAGGCTATATATCATCACGCTAAGACCAATAGGAGCGGAGCACCAATGAAGAATGTTTCAAAAACGGAGAAAATTTATTACTATTGAGAGACGCAGACGAAGTTGCGCGGGTCAGCTAGTTATAAATAAGTTTGTAATTCTTTAACTAGATGTGAGTTTACAAAGCTGTTTTTGCAGCAAATACAATTTTTCATTACTTAATTTACCCGAAAAGATAGATTTTTTAATGACTACATTGTTGAACGACCTATTCATATTACATAGGTATCTAAGAGTACATACAAAAAAAATGGAGATAAACATAACATAACTAAAAAGTTGAAACGCAGTTCTTCTATTTTAAAAGTAGTGAGATTCGATTGTTTCTATATTTATTGTTTTTATTTAACAAACACCTTTTTCACAATTACCGTTTCAATATTAGACATCTTAATTACTTCAATTTATAGAACATTTTTAATTGCGTGTGTGTGCAAAATATGATATTGTAAGGTAAAATATGTCATTCTAATTTATTCATTATTTTTCAAGTACTTGTATACGAAGGTGTTTACTTACCGCGTTTCCAAAAAAGTCTGTCTTTTAAGAAATTTTAAAAGCGCCATCTACAAGATACAGTACGAAGTTCATTGACTCAAACTTACACTCATACTCTATTTGAGCTTATGTATGAAATACAAACTAGATGGCAGCACAGGTCAAATGTATTGTACATTTTTTGAAATTTTAGACTAGGTACTAAACTTGTCTTCAGTACTTCAAATTCAAAATAAGCGCTAATTAATTTTTGAAAAATAACATTAGAGAATGTAAGTGCCTGGTTCAACATACCCATAAAACAAAATCATAAATTTGATGGATATTTTTCTAAGATTTGAATTGCTTTTAAACATAGTACCTAATTAGTTAGTTCCTCGAAAAAAGGCCTTTAAGGTATGGTTTATTCATGTGGGTGGGTGTAGGTATAAAATTGCAAAAATTAAGATGACACAGCAGAGAGGGAGAAGTCCCAGTAACATGACAAGGATGTAGTAAAAAATGAAATTCCTGTAACGTAATTTATGGACGGCCGAGATGACATGAGCAGGTGTAAATGTTTTTTATACTCATTGTGAAAATGATGAGACACCATTGTAGTCCTGCAATAGGTCAACTGCCTAATTATAATTGCATGATCATATTTGAGAAATATTTTTGTTTTTTCATTATAAATAATAATATACATGATTTGAATTTTTATGAATTCTGCTGTGTTGCAATCTTAAAAAAAATGACAATCGCAACGGCTTTAGTTAACATTTCTAAAGCAGTATTATTATGCGATCGTTAACATTAGCTATTCAAAGGTTGAAACATCAACTGACCTTTATTAGTAGGCAGTGTGTTAGGTCTTGTGGCAGGCACGCGGTGGGGTGCAGGTTTCCTCGGCGACGGGGGCGGAGCGAGCGAAGTGCGCGCGCGCACTGCCACTGGCGATGAGGATAGTTTCTGCACCACTCCATTCTTCTTAGCTGTGAACAGTATTTTCTATATAAATATACATATAGACACAAATACAGAATAGTTTAGTAGATCTCTCCTATTATTTATTGTTAACCGTTAATTTTTTGTATCAACTTTTTTTACAACATTCTGACAAATAAATGACTTATTATTATCATTATTAGTTGTTTAAAGGAAAAATATTCTTATCTATGCAAAGTTTAAGCTATTAATCCTGCCTACACACCAATCTGAGAAAAGCAAAAGAGCGTTTGCATGTTTATTATATTCTCATGTCGAAGACGATATCAGGGGTATCTCAGAATATCGCTGTATCGCTATCTGTATAGGATGTATTACTGAAAAAAAACTTATTCCGCAGGGAAACACTGATTATTGACAAATAACCGTTATCTAATTAATTAATTATAATAGTTAATATTATAAAGAGGTAAAGTTTGTGAGTTGGTATGTTCGGGGTAATCTCGGGTACTACTGATCCGATTTTGCAAATTCTTTCACTGTTAGAAAGGTATATTATCCCTGAGTGCTATAAACTACTTTTTACTGCGATAACCGACATACACGCGAGCGGAGCCGCGGGCAAAAGCTAGTATTCAATATTCAGGATGCATAATTTTTTTACGCTATTTAACTTAAATATAATTGCATTCTGAATATTGAGCCTTATATGGTATCTTGTTAACATTTTCGATAACCTGCAATAATCTCGAACCAGTTAGGATATTTTTCAATATTTTTTTACGGATTATTCAATTTTTGTACGGAGTTTTGATTCAGATTTAATTCATGAATGAAACTTGCATAAGGACAACTACTACCGATAAGGAAATGACCCAGTCTGTGCAATAATGCAATGTCAATAGAAATATCCACAATAAGTACAGCTTGCGCAATACATTGCTGAATACCTGAGCTAAGTTAAAGGACATTCGCTAATGCTATCTATTCGTGACTTGAATTAACAATCGTGAATATTAATACTGATGAATGTGTGAATTTAACAATAAACAGTATATTATATGTATATTCGATCGTAAAAATCTACTCAATAGTGATGGAAATTATTGCTAATTAAGATTATAATCATATAATGATATGATTGCTTCTAGTCACAGCGATTTTGCCTGTGATAAATCACTACTAGGTAGGGCAAAACCTCCTCAGGGCACCAGGGACTTCCTTTCTAGGGTATACCTGGTTCCCCGGCTATTAGTACCCGAGACGGCGTGCGGTTTTAGTCGGTTCGAGTCCGACATGCCACCGATAGGTGGTATCCGAGGGGATTTCCGAACGGAAAAAAAAAAAAAAAAAAAAGGCAAAACCTCCTTTCTAAGGAGAGGCCTATGTCTAGCAGTGGACTATTAAAGGCTGTTGCTGATGAAATCACCACCGTGATTTGGTCATAGACAAAGATAAATACCACCACATCTTAAGCAAAGAAAAAAAATCCAAAGACTAGACCATCCATTTTTTTTATTTAGACCTCTCTGGCGCTAGCGTATTCATAATCATAAGTCGCAGTGATTTTGTATATTAGTCATGTACTGCAAACTTATAACTTACTACCTAAAAGGGTAACAATTATTGAATCTTTCACTAATATAAAAACCCTTCACCCCATAAGTAAACATTTAAAATCTTATTATTATTAATTAGGTATACTAGATGTATCGCGGTTTCACTCGGTGTGTTCTTTTTTATATGATTTGCACAGGACCCAACTCTTTTTCTAAATTAAAAGTAGTCTCAATTACTTCTTAAAACATTAGCCAGTAAAAGACACATGAAAATATGTCCACCGTTCTTTAGATTTAATTGCCGGGACAACCAGGAGGCAGACAAACAGATATCAATTTTTAGGGATAAGTAATGTGCAAATGTTCAGATAGATCAGAGAGTTCAGATAGTAGGCCAATACCTCCTTTCTAAGGAGAGGCCTATGTCCAGCAGTGGACTAGTAAAGGCTGTTGATGTGATGATGTGTGTGAAATGTTCAGATGCATTTCCTACAAAGGTTTTATTTTGGTATTAAAAATTTACAGCTCAGTAGACATAGCAATTCCTTAATGCTTCCTTAATTATAATTAAAACAGAGACTAACGCAGAGTATTTTCAGCCTTGCTTGTTCTAGTTTCAAATAACTATTCTTAAAGCTTACCTACCTAATGAAACTAGCACAACGTCACGTTTATTAAATAAATAATGAGCTAAAAATAGTGTCACGTCACGCAATATACTAATGCACTAGCCCACTGATCGAGATCGAACCAGTTACACTCTGACACACTTTTCAAAGGACAACCATAGCGAAGGCGCTATTGTTAAATCTCCAAAGATGACTTGCGAAATATTACGAAATCGTTCAAGCAAAGACTTTTGCATGTGTTCAAGTTACTTTGATTAGTCTCTTTGTTTTTGTCTATGTGTGACTATACGTCTCGTATAATTACAAAATACAAGTCAGAAAGTGGTCAAACACAAAATTGCTACGTAAAACGTGTTAAATAGATATTTGTAATGTAAAGCCAAGGTGAATATGTATTTCAAAATATGATTTCATGTTCAAATCGCTTTTTGTTAAAATCAGTGTTCTCATGTTAGTGTAGAAAATTGAAGTAAACCAAATTGTGCATACTTAATTAATTAGCTTGTAAAATTAATACATCAGAAAATTACATAAATGTGACTGTAAGGACGGACAAGCTCTTTGGCATTAAAAAGGATAACTCTGAATTTACGCTCAAGATTAACTACGTCATAAAATAAATTTAGTGAATGATGTAATAGTAACATGCAGATTTTTTTTTAACGCCCTCCGTTTTTAATGTTTTCTTTAACCCTAGATATTTTATATAAAAGAAAAAAAACTAGCCCTGGTCTAAATATCATGATCTTGAGTTAGAGAAGGTCTAAAAATGGTTCATGTAAATTTAGTACAAGCTTGCTTTGGGTTCGAACCCCACTTGTTCTACTGATTTCATCTTAATACATCTATAGATACTAAAGTATAGTATTCATAAATATCTAATATATTATTTCGACCTGATAAATTATTATATTTGAACAGGGACCAATATTAATTTATAATATAAGCCTCAGTAAAAGCAAGCAACACAGTTCACTAAATATTTGAGGTGACATGCAATAATAATAATAAGTACGCATAAATGTAGATATGTACATATTAATTATAACAGCCTGTTCCAGGGAAGTGGTAATCTATTGCCCAATCTATAGATACTGAACGTAGACAGCTGTTTCCTGACTGTGTCCAATTGCCATACTTAATGACAGGACTATGTAAAGTCTTTCTATTTATCCGCTCTACTGAATCTCGCGCTTATTAGCCTGCAGTACGACATCGTATGCTGTTTATGTAACGCAAAATAAATGTACTTCCACGTCGTTACGCATAAATATGAGCAAGTGTGGACGGATGTTCAACGATTGACACCACTAAACCAATTAAGTGAGCTGTGTACGTTCTTAATACCACTTAGTTTAAGGTTGCAAAATATCTATCGATAATTGGCTTTTCATAATTAGTTTCTAGCTATTTTATCCTTTTACATAAGAAAGTACTAAATCACAAATGTTTATATAACATTTCTAAAAACTTATAGGTTGAACCTATGAGTTAAAAGCGACGTGCTTTTATATTTTGTTGTCTACATCTTCCATTCCATCTTCCATTTTCCAATTCGTGTTCTATATTTCCTCGTTGAAGCGAGAATGTCTTCAATCAGTTTCTGTTTGACCGATCTCAAGCTTAACGCTACGGTGAACTTCATCTAACTGATGGGTTTTACTTCTGTTAGTAAATATATTTTGATACTAACATAAATATGTACATTATGAATGGTCAATTTTGTAATTGACGGCAGTAAAATAAGAATGCACTGCGACAGTTAGTAGCTAATATTTTTTTTTAAAGAAGATAAATAAAATTAAACAAATGATTACGTGTTTAGTTAGATATTAAGTTTTGTTTCGCATAGTATCTTTTAAACCATCACATACATAGTGCATGTGAATGGTTTAGTCCAATCGGAGCACCCAAAAATCTAATACCTTTAAACGAGCAGTTCTTGAATATATACATATATATATATAATCTGAATCTCGGAAACGGCTCCAACGATTTTCATGAAATTTAGTATGAAGAGGGTTTCGGGGGTGGTTGCATTTCTAGAAAATTTAACAAAGGAACATACCACCTTCATACAATACGGTCATCCAGGTACTTTATATAAATTAAGTAATATTACAGCAATTAAAACATGTCTGAAGTAATATTTTTAAGTGTTGATTAAGCAAGTAAGATACCCACTATTGTTAAACAAATGAGGGCGCAAGTGTCCGCATTGGCTTTAACATGATGTTATTTGGGGAATGAACATGTCAGCACCTTGTAAGAAAAATAGTCCTCCAATGGTTCATATGGAAGAACTTTTATTAATTTTACTAATATTTTTAATTTGTTTTAATCTTAAAATCAAAATGTTACTAAGGTATGTCAGATTCAAAAGTGTATATATATATATGTATATTTACAGAGGGTGACACACACCTTGAACTGATTGTGGTGTGGGCGGCGTTGGAGGGGGTCGTGCGGGTGTTGTCGTCGTGGGAGCGCTCTCCCTTTTCTTGCCGTTCCCTGGAATAGACAAAAACATACATAAGTGCCTTATACACGCTTCTACAATAACACATATGACTTACACAGGGTAGGCTACTTGGTCCTACTCACGCAGGGACTCATAGAGTCCAAAAAAGTTAAGAATTATATGCAACTAATTTTAACTGTAAATATGAGTAACCAAGTAACGTATGAACATAAAAAAAATAATTTGATTTATTTATTTGTATAAACAAATAAAATGTTCCAAGTTATTACTTTTTATTGCTCATTTACTACAAGAACGTAACTAGTACACTAGTAACAACTAAACTAACATTAACACATTATTTTAGTTCATAGAACATGCGTTAGTTTTATACCAGTGGATAAAAACTGTTTACGTGGTTACATAATGGTTTATCAAAGGAACGAATCTTGATGTCTTGTAGGAGATGCCGTGGGAAGAACAAAGTCAAATAAAAACAATGTGATAAACTGCGCCGGGCGAAATCTTTTATCTGCTTATTGTTAGACACGTAATGTTCATGACAAAGGTCTGTGGAATCATTTCAATCAACATCTAATGTACTGACTTTTTAAGAGAAAAAAAATGCCATTTTACATTACAAACGCTGGTATAGTGTATTTGAAACCTTCAAGTTTATATAATATATCTTCATAACTCCTCCTCATGAAAATTCCTAAGAAATTTGATTTCTAAAATACTCATACAGGATACGTGACCCTAAGGAACGACTTTTGTTTAAAAAAAGCCTTAAGACTCACCGTTCATTTATTCGTGTAACTTTTCTATTCATGTTTCGATAGGACTAAAGGCTATATTTACAATCAGTACACTGTTTACAAGTACAACAGTTATCAATTTACATATATTGTGTGGGTACTTTTACGAGATATAGTAAAACACCTACAAACTATGAAATATGTGAAATACACAAATAGCGAAAGATAGCTGAGAGTAAATCACACAGTTGTGATTGTCTCTACTCCAATTTCCACATGTGCGTTAATGACTGATAACAATATAACACTGTCCTTTTATCTGGCTTTAATCAAGGCGGACTCAATAATGTACAATCTGTCTTCAGAGCACTATGCATGAATTAGAATTAGATGCAAATGCTGACTCGATCTTTACATTTTATGTCACTGTATGCTATCATCAAAATCAAATTCTATCCAAATACCTATTTAGTTTATGCAACTCGAGTTAGTATTCCGTAGGCGCTTATTAGTTCGCGCCCACCCGATACTACCTTGCAGAGCAAGGTTACATGCTGCACATCGAGATTATATCATTACATACGTAAATAGAGTTTTGTCTATTAAACGTGTTGAGAGACAGTTCATGTAAATCATTCTCCATATTTATTCATCAACGGAGAATCGTCTGATAACCGTCAATATCTATGACACATAACATGTTGAGGCCAAAATGTAAGGGCCTTTATAGAACTACATGTTTATAAGGCGCACACTTACACATCAAAAATGTAGATAAAACATTGAAAAATTTGAATAACACGTATCTTAATTCATCTATACGAATGAAGTATGTAAATATAATTAAACTAACATTTACATGTTCTAACAATAAGGCTTTGTTTTAAATTTTCACAATGTCATCAGAGGTCATTAAACACACAATGGGTACATGTAGTAAAATATTATAATAACATCAGATAACACAAAAATTGCTTACGTACATTTAAGTAACAGGCTTCAAAAGAATTAGATAATTTATACTTTATTTAATGGACCTAATATCAACAATAAATAAAATACCTTCAATTTTAACACACAAGATTATTCAATCACCTGATTGGTAAAGACGATTTTCACTCTTTTCATATAATATTGCATATTTCTTTCATCTGATAAAAGTGCCCATACATAATGATGTATCCGGTGTACTCCTCCTGGTAAGCGCATTGGATCATCATTATGTTGGAGTATTTTTACAATATTAGACTATGATTAGGGACTATAAGTTCTTTAAGTGTACAGACTTATGATTCTTGTAATCATCACGTATCACGACACTTAAACACCAAAAACACCCAGGTCACCAGCCAGAGAGACCATGCGCACGACGCTTTAGCATTCTAAATCACACATAATCATGTAGGTGGGTGATTCTTCGCTCTTTTTACTTCTGCGTCATTGTCCGCCTCATAATAATCCTTTAGAAATACAATAATCTTTGAATTATATATTAAAATACTTGTCATTACGTCATGTGCTTGATTTAAATATATAATTGAGTATTACCAATAATAGATTTTATTACGCAGGAAACTAAAGAATTAAAAAAAACGAATATTTAAAAGTCAAAGGTCTTCCATTTGCCTAGTCGTGATTTTTCACGGTAAAGATAGAAAACGCGCGTAGACTATAATAGGTTACACGTGATAAGTAATACGGATTGGAAAATAAGGCTTCACTTGGTCGCACATGGGAGTACAACACGATTTGATTTTGCTGCGAATTTTATAATACCCAAGTGGAAACGGAGTAGCATGTGTCCTTTTAACACTTTTAAATTTAGTACAGCACTCAAAAAGAAAGTAAAATTTTATATTTCAGCTCCAGTGATTTTTGTTCATTTGACTATTAACCACAACAGTGACACAATTTAAAATAGGTAGGACAAACTATTACTCAACAAAGACGTAAATGCTTTAAATCAATTTTAGATTTCCAATGATGACGATATGTACATTAGTTCTGTGTTAGTTACGTTAGTACCTAGTTCGTTGTTTTTTATTGGATTACGAGTTGGTTTAGATTATTACCACGCAAACGGCCTAACATGCATGGATTGTTATAGGCGTAATTAAACATGTTTGTGGCCGGTATCTGTGCAAACAACATTTTATAGAGCCGTTGTACATTCATTGCCAGGAATTGTTTGTTCTGTTGTACTTCAAGAAGTACTTACTCTATTACGTCATTATTAATGTCTTTAAACTTTATGCACATCAGGTACATAGCTGAGGTATTATGTACCAGTCAACCTTTAGATGTTCCAGACAATAGAAGAAATACGTAATTAAGAAAACTGATGAGAAATCGACTGTATAAGAATTCGTGATCAAATACTCGTTCTTATAACGGATCACAAAAATTGTTGTGACTTAGAATGAACTAGGAAACTTATGAAAAGAAAAAGTTTTTGCATAACGTAAATATAACTTAGAACTAGGAAAATTATGGGGTTTTGTAAGCATTATCGAAGCTATAGGATAACCGAAATATAAATCTATATGCCAAAATATCGATAGGCGTGGAGTCTCTTGACTCATTTTTTTCATTAAGGCTTATGATAGGTTTACATTATTTTTACAAGATGTAAATAAATGAAATGATTGTTTGTGTTGATGTTAATCCCCACTAATATAAATGAGAAAAGAATTCTGTCTGTCTGTTACACTTTCTCGGCGAAACCACTGAATCGATTTTAATGAAATTTGGTATGGCGATACTTTGATTCTTGAGGAAGGACATAGGATCCTCCATACTTTTTACCGCGATAACCGACATACCCCCGTGCGGAGCCGCGTGCAAAAGCTAGTTATTATACTTTCTCATTTTAGGTAAATATTTAACAATTAAAAATAAATAGCTGTAATGTTAACATAATAGGTATGTAAAGCGTAGATAGTTAAAAGGATTGAGGGTGAACGAACTCAAATTTATGTGTGAATATGCCTGCCTGTCTACATGTTCACATGCTTTTATATTTTCGCATTTTTAAATTAGTAAGATTTTTTAATTTTAAAAATTAGTAGGTATTTTGTAGATTATCACAAGTCACCTGGAAGGACTAAGAAAACAGACTGTCACCACCCCTATTCATCCCGCGGGTGTCGTACGAGCCGACTAAGGGAGCAAACTACGCAGGACAACAACACTGCAGAGAGAAAGAAAAATTGTCACAAACCCTATACCAACCCGTCTGACCAGCGTGGTATAGTAGGCCAAAACCTCCTTTCTAAGGAGAGGCCTATGTCCAGCAGTGGACTGTTAAAGGCTGTTGATGTGATGATGACCCGGAAAGAAGTGACCGGAATTGATACTAAAAAAGATTTTTGTAGTATACAATTGTCATGTTCAAAATCAAACATTTTAGATAAAAATAAAGTAAATTTTAAAATAAAACTACAAAAGTTTGGTGTTTTGGTGTGGGCCACTTCCGCGGATTATGGTAACCGCTTACTGCATTGACCGTGAATGTATGCATATTAGTCCTCCCAAGTAAAAACTCTAGATACAAGCTAAATCTAGTCATTAGAAGCGGGTATTGTGGAAATCTGTTTTAGGTGTACAATTAAAAATAATACCTAATAATTAATTCATTAGTGAAGGTCTTTGATTGTGAGATAGCATATAATGATCTTGCATTGATAACAATATCTATATTTCTATATCAATAAAAAATAAATAAAATAATATATTTAATATTTGTAAAAAAAAGTGCATCTTTACACGAATTAAAGATGTTATCTAATAATAATTTTAGCGTGAGTCCTGGTTACTTGATTAAATAAATGAATTATTTTTATTTTGAATTTGTTAATCTCCCTGAAAGGGGTAAAATGATTTGAGTACACGGGCCATAGCCAAGTGTAATCAAAAGAACAGTGGCGGGTCTCGATACAAAAAATATTTGGAATCAAATTGCATCGTCTTGCAGTGAAAAAAATATCAAAAAATTTCGCTTTTTTTTTAGAATCTATGTGTAAAACAGTTTTTTTGTATGGGAAACGCGAAAAGGAAAAAATATATTAGATTTTTTAACTGTGGACTTTTTTTAAAAGAGTCTTTTATGCAGCTAGCATAAAGTTTCCTTTATCTTTCCTTTATCTATAGCTATCGATTTTCAAATTGGTTTTTGAAGTATTTTACATAATTATTTGATAATTATAACTATATGTGTGTCATTTAAATAAAAAAATAGATTTTTTTTATTATTATAGTCCACTGTCTATAGAACATTCGTAGGTTATATTTTT